TAATTCATTCGATCATAGGGAAAGAGTACAGAATACACTCAGTTCCCTGGCAGCAGGTAGCAGCAGACTACATACATGGTACGTGAGCACGGAACTGAGCTGAGACCTATCTCCAAATGCAAGGTGGTCAGATAGGAACAGGAAGGGGATGAGGCAGTGAATCTTCAGACCACAGAGACTTAATCCCTTACCTTGACATCTCAATAATGAATACTTCTGAAGTCAAAGAACAAAATCTTTAGCTGCTTTAAACGGAAACTCAGCATCTACTGAGACAACACAATACAGAAGAGTTCTTGGCCTTTGGAATTACGCTACTGTTCTATGGGTCCAGCTCCTGTCTTTCCAGTCCCACTGAAAAAAAAGACCGAAAAATTGCCCAGGGCAGAAATCTGAGTGGCTTACCTCCATCTTCATTTATCCAGTAAAGAAAGAGATTCATAGTTCCTACTTCAGTTATCTGCTCATCCTCTCCATAGAGCCACAGGACCTGCTGACATCCATTGTCCGCTGCTTCGCACTGGGCGAAAAGAGATGCACCGTAATTCCTAGGAGGGAGGAAACACTGCTCATACACACGCTCATCCCCCTAACTCCCACCTCTACACTTGCAAGTCCCCAAGGCTTTAGTTCACACGTGGATGTAGTCAATGTGCGACGTTGTTAATACAGTAACACACATACGCTCTCTGGTTCACTACACAACATCAAAGGGAAACTCATTAGGGAACCTAAATAATCTAATTGCAGTCATTTTAGAGAGACCAAAGCAAAATCTTAGAATCCTACCTTGAAAAGTAATGAAAGGAGAAGATAGGTAAATAGCCACATTATGATAAGAGTTAAATACTACGTAGTTTTCCACACACAAAGCAATTTAATATAGATTATTTCACTCAAGTGTCACACCAATACTATGAGGTAGCCACTATCAGCATGTCTATCATTCAGATGAGCAGGCCCAAGCTAAAGAATTATCTTGGATCACTTATAGCTACTTAAAAAAAAAAAAAGAAAAGATTGTAATGTATGATTTTGTTTAAGAAAGTGTAAGTTAAGCATAAGGAGTCATCAGAAAGTTCATGAAAAATGTGTTATAATGAAAAATAAATCTGGGTGAGCAGGTGGTGTGGTGGTTAAGGGTGCTGGACTCCCTCAGGGCCAACCATGGTTTGAGTCGCAGACCTGGTGGCTTGCTTTCTCTCCCTCCCTCCCTCCCTCCATCTGTCTCTCTCTCTCTGTCTGTCTCTCTCTCTCTTGTGCTCGGTCCCTCTCTGGTCAAATTAAAAGAGATGAATAAATAAAGTTAATAAAGTAATTCTTTTAAAAAAAAAAGAAAAAGAAATCTATGCATGGATTTCAAAAAACTTTTGCACTGAAATGAACTCGTTCTTTAATTCTATTTTGTACAAACTTTTTGAAGTCTCCTCATAGAACAGTATCTGTCATTTTCATTTGCACCGCTCTCTTTCTCACTATATCCCATCTTATAAAAACATGGCCTAAGGCAAGCCAGGTGATGTGCTGTTTGGGGCAGCTGGATCCCACATGGTCAACTACATGGTTTGAGTTCCAGACCAGGCAGCGTAAGAGACACACTAGGCCTGTGATTGTGTACATGCCCAGAACCCCAAGAGGAGAGTGGAGAAGGAACTGTGGTGTGCTCATCCCCCCAGGGGGTGCTTTCTAACTTGCTTGCTCTCTTCCCTGTCTCTCTCAAGCAAGTGCACACGCCCTATGCAAATTTAAAAAATAAACAAAAATAAAACACAGTCCTGGGCCAGACTAGTAGCACTGTGCATGCGGAGTCAGATCACAAAAAGCTAGCAAGAATTCAAATCCCAGTCCTGGCAGCTCGAAAGATGCTGGGTACCTGTGCAAGTACGCCCAAAATCCTGATGAGAAGAAAAAGGACTGCAGTGTGACCACACTACTTGGGAGGGTGCTCGCTCTTGCTTGTTCTCTCTCTCTCTCTGGTGAGCACATGTGCCCTCTAGCAATTAAAAAAACAAAACAAAACAAAAAAAACCCAACAAAGTGGCCTTACCTAGGGAGCCAGGTCATTCTGCTTAGACTGACAATCATAGCACCTCACCCTTCTTTAGTTGAATTAAAGGGTGGGCTCATACTGAGCCCTTCTTTGGGTTAATTCACCCATTCATTTCAATGTATGGAATCCAAGAGGCAGGTATTTTTTCCCTTCTGGGGTTGGACCTTCAAGAGCACATGAACTTGGCAATGATTATCTAGGGTCTACAGCTACCATCCTATCATAGTTACATGAGCCAAGCAATCTATCTCTTTTCTCCTTGAGATTATTTGAGTTGGTTTTCTGACTTGCAACTGAAAAAATATTGACTAATAACTGAAATATTCTAGAAAGTGTGGAAAATAGACATTATACCATGGCCACTACAATCGGGGCATGAGGAGGTTGACTCATACCATGGTGACATTAAGATTCATCAAAAGGCTCTCAAAATGTATTTCAAAACACAGATGACAAACTATAAATTCTCAGTCAAGCTGGAGATGACACAAGTCTGATATATGGATGGGGGCTTTTAACTGTTTAAGGACCATAAAACAGTCAGATCACATTTATTCAGAATTGATGATAACAGAAACTGAGTTAAATTATGAATGTCTTTTGATAAGGCATATAAACCAGACTGCAGACCCAACATGGGTTTCGGTTCCAGGCCTGGGTGTAGCTTCTACACTTCTGGTCTGGTAAATGTAAACTTAAGCAAGTCATTTTTGCCTCATTTAATTCATCTGGTGAATAAAAATACCTGCTTTATATACTTCATAAGGTTGTCTGGAAGAAAGAAAAAAAACAATAAAAGCCAAAAAACAGATACTATGACAAGCCTGTTATATCCTAACGTAATTAAGTTTTTCAAAATATTAACTACTTTAATTGAATGTTCTATCATTCATAGACACAACTGTGAGATTTTTACCATACCTAAAAATAGATGATTTCTCTCATATGTAAAATGCTCTTTATCCTATTAAAAGGCACACAGAGAATTCGTCTAGTATAAACATCCAGCTTTCAAAGAAGCTTCTAAAAACATACATATGCACACTTTTAAGAGTGTGGCTGAATTAAATCCATGGTTCGTCAGACTCATGAAGCTACTTGGGACAGGAAATAACACCTCAACTTTTTCAATGCATTGAAAGAATTTCTTTTTTATGTTTGGTGTTTGATTTATTTAAGTATTAAATTCTATAGATGGTACTTTTTCCCAAAAGAAATATTTTATGAGGTTTTTGCTTCAGGGCAGGTGCACTGGTCGGAGAGAGAAAGAGACAGTGAGGAGGTGAGTGAAAAATTACCCTGTAGGGGAGACAGCCACACCCCAATCCCTTCTCCATTCTCCTCCAGGGATTTTGGGCATGCACGCACATACACACAGCGTGAGTTTCAAGCCACTGGGTCTGAAACTCACCTTAACATCCACACCGCCTGCTGGCCACATCCCAAACAGGTTTTTTAAATCAACAAATAAGTGTATGTATTTATGGGTTAACGTGTGATTTTTTTTTTGGTACATGATTACAATGTGTTATGATCAAACCCAGATAATTTGCATATCTATCACCTCAAATATTTGTCATTACTTTGTGTTGGCCGCATTTAAAATCCTCTCTTCTACTGTCTTGAAATGGACATTAAGTTATTGCTAACTACAGTCATTCTATTGTGCACAGAACACAAGAACTTGTTCCTACTAACTCGTTTTGTATCCATTAACCATCCTTCCTCTTCTTCCTTCCTAGCCTTCCCAGACTCTAGTCACCACGATTCTACGCTATTCTTCAAGAAGATCAATTTTTTTCACTTCCACATAAGAGTGTAAACATGCAGTATTTCTAGTTTTGTGCCTGGCTTATTTTACTTAACACATCACAACCTCCTCCAGGTTTGTCCAAATTAAAAAAAAAAAAAAGAAGTCCTTAGAGAAAAGAAAACAATAAAAAAAGGAGGGGGTAATGTCAATACATTTTAGATGTAGTATGTGTCAGAGATTAGAGATATTAATAAATACACTCTTCAAAAGCGTACATCCTACTGTGTGAAATCCTATTGACTTCTAAGATAAAGAGTCCAGGAGATGAAATAAAGTGAGAAATCCTCGGAGCATCACTGAAAGGTACTACCTGCTACCTGTCAGACAAGTACTGCTACATACTTCACCATATCATTTTATTGAATCATCTTAAAACAAACCTGGACTTCCTTATACTTTCAAGGACTCAGAGAAAGGGAGGAATTCATTACACAAAAGCACAAAGATAGTTAGTGTATGACTCCCAAGCCCGTATTTTTAATCACTAGGTAGAACACTGCATTTGCTGAAAGCACTGTCATAAGTACTTTGTATTAGGGCAGTTAAGCCTTTAAAACAGGTCTTTCTGACCTCAATGCTTGTACTCTTAAATGTAGAGGCCTAGTATAAAGAAAAAACAAAACAGAACAAAAAAAACAGAGAGGGTTTTGTGTGTGTGTGTGTGTGTGTGTGTGTGTGTGTGTGTGTCTGTGCATGAGAGAGAAAGAGAACCCTGGTCATTTAGAATTAACTAACAAACTGTCTAGGTTAAAGAAGAAAGACCTTTCTCTAGCTCAGGGTTTCACATACGGGTGCATCTGAAAAATTTCTGATAACTCAGGCCAGCCTGGGGCCTAGTGGCTAAGGGAACTGGATTCAACATGTCTGACTGCTGTTCAAGTCCTAGCCCCAGTGGCTTAAAAGCCACAGTGGCTCAGCTCTATTAATTTTTATACAGTAAATCACAAACTGCCCAAGTAGCTGTTAATGAAGATTTCTCTGCAATTTTGTGTCCCCACATTGTCTTTTCCCTAGGCAGGTAGGGGAAGCTAAAAAGCAACACTTAAACAGAGAAACTTATTGCCTTAGCCCTCCTGATTTTTAAGCTACTATTAGACACACCCTAGGGGAAGTTCTAACACAATGGGGTGTGTAACGTGCACAAACATATGCACAAACTCGGTGCAGAAGTCGGGACGAGTGGCAGAAGAAGCCAGCAGAGTAAATGGGAGGAGTTTTCAACCTGGCTGGCCTAGGACACAGGAAGAAACGCTAAGCCAGAAAGACAAGACAGCAACTTGAGAGTTTACCAGGATTTACTAGACTATTAGGATGTCTCTCCCCATTGATGGAGATACAGTTACAGAAGGTGCCAACAGGGATAATGGGGCATAAAATTTTATGGCCATTGCTTTTTTCTTTTTATTGGTGGAGTGGAGAGACATATAAAAAGACCACAGAGACCACAGTCGGCAGCCACCATGTCTCCGATATCCTGGTAGCATGTCCATCAACTGTTCACCTCAATCTACATGTTGAAGCAGGGTCCAGAAGACCATCCTGAGCCACCGTCCAGGACTGCTGCCGCCCTGGGAACCACTACTACCTACAACGGAGCGCCCATGGCCGACTCCAGCTTGTTATTCTTGTTCAGCCACAGGGGCATTCCTAACACCCAGCCAAGTCCACCCCTAAAATCGTCCAACACTTTTCAAATGCTCTTTCATTTTCTGCCAGCTACATATGGCCTATGAGACTGGCCTGACACAGCCAAAGCAGGGCTGTCCCTCAGCCAGCTGGCAGCAAGTGTGGCTTCAATCTGTGGCAATGAAGACAGCACTTCAATGGCGCAGACACCTTCCCCAGACAGGGCTCCTTGGAGCCAACTGTGAACCTCCGTCCCAGCACCAGATGCTCGTGAATGCCAGCCACCAGCCTGCAGCCAAACAGGACCAGTGTCCAGGCAGTCCATTCAGAGCAATGATCTGATTCCTGTTTTAGGAACGTACTTTGGTTCCTACCTAGGTACCACATCTAACTAATGTTTTGCCCTTCTGAAGGGCCACAAGTTATCCTTAAAACAACTAGCCTGCTTAAAACATGAGAAACTGGGAACCAGCAGTTAGCATAATGGCTATGTCGCTGGACTCCCACGTAGTCGACCGCGGTCCGCGTCCCGGACCCAGTGGCTTAAAACTCACGCCGGGCGCGTGTGCGTGCGTGCCCAAGATCCCGAGAGGAGAATGGAGGAGAAGGGATTGCGGCGTGACCATCCCCCCTGGGGGGTGATTTCTCGCTTTCTGTCTCTATGTCTCTCTCTGTCTGGCGAACGCACGCGCCCTATAGTGAAAAAAAAAACCTCTCCAAAAAAAGAAAAAAGAGAAACATGAGAAACTAAATAAGCACTGAAGTTTGAATATTAGTATATGTACTGGCATTGAAGTAAAATGACAGTAACGAAATGGCTGGACAGAGACGCAGGGTCACTTACCCTCCCATCTTGCAGTCTCCAGTCCCACCTTTCCAGGCTCTTACATACTTCGGATTGGCCCACAGAGATACCGGATTAAAGCTTCCGCTGGAAAAGTAAGGTCCCACTGGGCTCAGGATTACGAAGAGCAAGGCTTTGGTAGGCTTCTTGACTCCAAGAGAAGGCTACAATAAAGAAAAAGTATATTCAACTGTCTTTTAAAATGTAGACACCGGTCTTACCATGTAGAATAGACTCTGAACTACCTCCCAGAAGGGAACATCGATGAAGCTGAGTTACTCAAACCTCTTGGTCTATTAAGAACATCAAGAATGGAATACTTGAGTTTCAATCTGCTTCACTTTCTGAGTTATGGTTTCAGAGAAAAGGTGAATTTGTCAATATTTCTGTTGTTGTTAGTAGGGTTTCAAAAGAGAAATATTTTCATATATTTCAATTTGCAAGAAGGCATGTGTGCTCTCCCAATGGTGCGGGTGGACAGAAGGCAACCCACGGTGGGCGTGGTCACACCACCATCCTTTCTCCTCCATTTCTCCATCCTGTTGGGATGAGGGGCAAGCACACACACGTGCCTAGTGTTTCCCAAGCTGCTAAGGCCAGGAATTTGAAGGGCGGTGGGTCATGTGGAGTCAGGCTCCCTTAACCACTCAGCCCATGGGGTCAGCCCAAGAAGCTTATTTTTAAGTACTAGCTATACAATATCTTTCACGGCTGTATTGATTAGGAAAGAGAAAGGGGAGAACCCAGACATGGCTTTAGTCTTTGGGGTGAAATATAAAACCTGTTACTCTAACTTGTTCTCAGCAGCCTAGTGACGGCTTCAGGACATGTCAGGGCTGTCAGCAGGCGGGGTGCAGGAAGGGGCCATTACCACACCTGACCACATAAGGTTGTGCTGGTGGAAAGTAAAAGCGTAGCTTCACAAGAGGTAAAGACCCAGACAGGGTAAATACCACCAGAAAGGCAGGGGATGAATGACTTAGAAATTTATATCATGAGTAACAAAGAAGATGGCTCTTTTCACAAAGGCTGAAAACTATAAGCAACTGATTCAAAATCATACAATTATTTCCAGCAGAGAAGCAGTTATAACACAGTCGGTTGTGTATTAAGGAATCAAATTGAGAGACTTAAGGTTTTGAGGGTCACGGGGCTGCCCTGTGCAATTCAAGACCACAGGGAGTAAGAAAACAAGTCAGGACCAGCATGGCAAGAAGTCAAACAGAGTGAGAACCCCCTAATGTATTTTCTAGGGTTCCTGAAATATAAAGTCCATTTGTATTGTAATGGCCCAGAGTAAAGAGTAAGCCTTCAGACTTTGGTTATAATAATGACCAGCATGGACCATGGGTGAGGGCCATTTGACCTCTAAAACTCACTTAAAGGAAAAAGGTTTTCATTTCAATGTTTAAGATGTTTTGTAGACTGGAAACTGCTGGTTGTGAGCTCAGGCTGAATGGTTCTAGACACCTGAAGAGGAATTTGATTATCTAAGGCCTCACCAATCAAGAATGCCCACGAGCTGATCATGCCCTCTTAAACCAATCACTGAACTGATCATGCGCCTGGGACCTCTGCCCCTAATTTTGCCCTTAAAAACGCATGTGGGGAACATCTCGGGGAGATCAGGTCTTTTCAGCATGAGCTGCCCACTCTCCTTGCTTTGCGCTTTGCAATAAAGCTGTACTTTCCTTCATCGCACCATGTGCCTATGGCTTGGTTTTATAGTACTTGGGCGAGTGAACCTGATTTGAGTTCGGTAACAGAAGCTCCAGACATAAACCACCTGTGCCCAACCTACACCACAGCACAGTCTGCCTGGATGGGACTGAAGTCTGCTATGCAAAGAAAAAGAGTAAAAGAGGGAGAGACTTAGGACCAGCAGATGGCAGAAGCAGATGGCAGAATAGTTACATTGCTGGACTCTCACACAGTTGATTGAGGTTCGAGTCCCAGATCCGAAACTTAAAACTCATGCTAGGCACACGTGTGTGAGTGCCCAAGATCCTGAGAGGGGAATGAAAGAGAAGACTACGGCGTGGTCATCCCTCCTGGAGGGTGATTTCTTGCTTGCTATCTGTCTCTCCAGCAAGCTCATGTACCCTACAGCAAAAGTCTCTCTTAAGGAGGAAAAAAAAAAAAGAGGGACTCAATTCTACCTGATTTTGCACTTTTGCACTGTCTGTTACAACTGGCCGAACACAAACGATGGGATAGCTCTACCTGCATTTCAATTATACTCTCTCCACTACCCAGTGCCCTATGGGGCCTTGTCCTCTAATTAACACCCAGGACACCAAAAATCAGGTAAGAGCCCAGTCACAGAGAGCAGCCTAGGCGCAAAGCTCAGCAGTGGGGGAGGCCATGTGGATGACTGGTCCCCAGGTCCATGTGCACAGGCCGGGTCACACGTGTGGGTGTGTGTGATCTGGCTGACTGAAGGGGGGATCACAGTGTGAGATCCCGTTGAGGATATTTGTCTTTGTTTCTCTTTCTTCTCTCATGTAAGGATGGCGTAAAAGAACTTTCTTTAAAAATTAGGTAGGGGGACCAGCAGGTGATGTGGTGATTAAGGTCCTGGGTCCCCACATGGAGACAATAGTTCGAATCTCAGACTGGTGGCTTGAAAATCACAACAGATAGATATCAATAGATAGATAAATAAATAAGTAAATGTTTTAAAAAATCAGACAGGTAATGTTTATGTTTGCCTATGCACACACTGATGCCATCTGAAATACATGCCATGCTTAGGACACAGGAAGCTGACTTTATTAACATTCCACAGAAACATGAGGCCAAGTAGGGTCGGGGCAGCAACAGGAAAACCAGTGATCACTGATGGACAACTGTGCTGGAGAAATTAGCAACAACAGGCTTTTCTCCTAGTCTGTGTTTGTTCTGGAACGGGGGCCGAAGACTAAAGCCTACCGTACTAATAAGAGGTAAAGAGCCTTTGGGCCAGGAGGTGGCATGGTGGATGAACACTCCCACAAGGACGACCACAGTTCGAGTCCTGGACCTGGTGGCTTGATTTCTCACTTTGCCTCTCTCTCTCTCTCTCTCTCTCTGATCAAATTAAACTAAATAAAAATTACATAAATACTAAAAAGAAAAGAAAGTTAAAGAGCCTTAAAGCTTCATTTTCCTTTTACAGGGAAACTGCAGTATAATATACACAGGTGCCTATCCTCCCAGCTTTGACAAGACACAACTACTTCTTCTCCACTTCTATTTACCTAAGAGTTAAAAAAGTTCAATGATACTTTTCTTTCATGAGTGGTCTGATACTTAATATTCTAGACTTCTTTTTTAATGGACCCTTGTAACAAGAAGCTTCAACATAAATTAGATATAAGGAGGTCTTCATAAGCTCATGGAAAATGAGTATTAAAAAATGCATGGATTTCAACTTTTTTCTTGCATCAAAATAAGCTCATACTTTACTCCATTTTTCTGTAACTTTTGGAAGTATCTCATACAATATGCCCAAAATAGTCTGGGCAATTTATTTAAACTTCTAAGTTTCTGAATAGACTAGAATAGCTCATATACAGATAGCTCAATTTTTTTTAAGCTAGCACATGAACACCTGGGACTTTTTTCACTTGGAACTCATGTATTTTATGCATCCCACCATACTGAATTTTTTTTTAAATGTAACAATAATTCATCATTATGGAAATTTTCTTCCTGGGATATATTTTACCTTGTTCATTTCTTTCCCCTTATTTTAATTGACAGGCAAGCTTGCATTCAGTCCACCAGATGGCAGTAAAGAGAACACCGATGGAAAAGAGGAACTAATTCTATACATTAAATCTATTTCTAGAACAAGATCTCAATAAACCAAGTAATATTTTTATTCTTGGCTAGCAGGTAAATTATAGACTAGAATTTTTCAGTGCTGAAAGAGAATGTATTTATGTAAACTAACATTTTATTTTCTGAAATTTAAACAAGGTTAATTCATGTTTCTTAAGTACATCAAGTACTGGTGACTAAGTACACAGCTTAGTCACCTTCATCCTTAAAGAACTACTTAGAGAGACTGTCTTTTCTGAAAAGGACTCTGGCTTTACTGGAAGGAGTCACTTTCAGTGAAGTGCTTGAAGACTGGTAATGATCAAATGTAACTCTAGACAGGAGGAAGGGAGCGTGATACGTGGGTCTGTCTGCACCCTAGGGACCATGGCTGGTCCTATGTTAGTTCTCCCTTCTATTCTGAAAAGTGATTTAAGTTCTGTGTTACTCTTGAGAGCATTTTATTACATAATACTAATCAAATGACAGTCAGCAAATTTCTATGATGAGAAGATCAAGTGTCTGATGAAAAACTATAGCCACATAAATAAAGCAAAGGAATGAGTAACAATGCATGTCTCTAGTGGTTTCGGTTAAGTCTTTCCTCATGAGCATTCTGGTTAATTTTTTTTATACTTCTCTGCTAGTTTTTTAGATTATTTAAACACTGAAAGAATTGCAAGGGGCCCTAGAAATCCATTAAAATTAGGAATATAAAATTTCAGATATAAAGTACATGACTGCATTTTACTTTCTTATTTTATTATTTTTTTATTGCTACATGGTGCGTGTGCTCACTGGAGGGAGACAGACCACACAGAGAAAGGGAAGGAAGGTAAGAAAGCACCCCCCCAGAGGGGATGGCCATGCCTCAATCTCTCCTCCTTCCTCTCCTCTTGGGATTCTGGGCACGTACACACAAGGGCCCGGCATGTTTTTTATGCTAGCAGGTCTGGGACTCAAACCATGCAGTCAACCATGTGGCCAGCTGCCTTAACCATCATGCCACTGGCTGGCCCCAAAATACATAACTTCTCAAGAGACCACACTGCCTTTGAAGTCGAAATGTTGATGTGTTTTAAATAGCAAGTGTGTGTGCATTAAACACAAGTAAACTTGGCACAAATGGGAAAGGTAGTTGGGTGTGGTAGAAAATAAAAGAAACGTGTCACAGTGAAAATTACTTCTTTCTGGGTCAGTCAGAAATTACTTTATAGAAAGGTGAATTTCAGGGGTTATTTGAATCATGGCAGAAAGAGCTCGGTGAGGTGAGAAAGGATTATTAGTCTATGTTTTGGCTGGAAGGCAGAGAAGCACAGCGGGGTCTGGAGGCTGAAATATAACTCTGTCTCGGCAATCA